GATGGGATTCAACACCGACAAGTGCAAGGTGCTGTACCTGGGGAGGAAGAACCGGCACCATACCTACAGGTTAGGGAACTCCCTTCTCATCAGTGCAGAGGCAGAAAAGGATCTTGGAGTCATCATTGACTCCAAGATGAACATGGCCCGGCAGTGTGGGGACGTGGTCAGGAAGGCCAACCGTACCTTGTCATGCATCCACAGATGCATCTTGAGCAGGTCCAAGGAGGTGATCCTTCCCCTCTATGCGGCACTGGTCAGGCCGCAGTTGGAGTACTGCGTCCAGGTCTGGGCGCCGCACTTCAGGAGGGATGTGGACAGCATCGAGAGGGTCCAGAGGAGGCCACTCGTATGATCAGGGGGCAGCAGGGCAGGCCCTATGAGGAGAGGCGACGGGACCTGAACCTGTTCAGCCTCCAGAAGAGAAGGCTGAGGGGGGATCTAGTGGCCTGTTACAAACTAGTCAGAGGGGACCAGCAGGCATTGGGGGAGTCCCTGTTCCCCCGAGCATGACCAGGAGTGACCAGGGATAACGGTCACAAGCTGGCAGGGGGGAGATTCAGGCTAGACATCAGGGCCAATGCTCCTGGCCCAAGACATCTTGCCTCCCTCAGAGCATCAGCTTAAGAAGAGCTTCCCCACCTATCCCACTGGCCCCAGCATGTCCAGCTGCAGGGCACTGTCCCTGGCCAGGGAAGATGCCAGCCCATGGCCTAGTGGCATGGCCATTTGGGCTTTGCAGATTAGCTGGCAGTGGGGAGGAACCAGTGGTGGGGATGTGCTTAGCAAGGACAAGGGTCCTCAGTATATAATCCACCCTGATCCCACCAGGGACCTCAGCTGACGGCTCCTCCACAGAGCCATCTCCACAGGCCTGCATCTGACATAGTTTACAGCTGCCCTCGACATCTGCCCCTTGAGCAGAGGGAGACCCTAGCACATGCCTAGTCCCTCACCGCCTCCTCCAGGACGTTCTGCTGAGGCTGTGGCTGCACTGCTCCCTGCACCATTTCAGTTATGCACTCCCTATCCGCAGCCCCAGCAAGACCTGGGTCCTCCTGGTCAACCCTCTCCTAGGCCTGGCTAAGCTCGGGGTCTCTGACCGGGAAGGAGGCTCCAGGTGGGGGGACTCCAGGGACTGCAGGGCTCCTTTCCGGTCCCTAATCCCGTCATGTCTCCAGGCAGAGTTTCACTGGGCAGTGTCCACTGGCTCCTTGGACTCGTTCAAGGGACACTGTCTGGTGTGCTATGCTTGACGTCCTCACTATGAACTTATGATCCCGACTCCTGCCCTGTTTTGTTTTTATTTGTCCCAGGGAACCAGTGCTGTGCCCTTAATGGCCTCCACTACCAAGGGGGCTTATAGCTCTACATGGTGGGCCCCTCGTCCCAATGGCACATCAAAAGGCCTGTATCACACAGTGGTGGAGGTTGGATGTTGAAAGGCAGAGGGAACTGGGTATCACCATCAGTTTTCCCCTGCTCCTCTCCCACTTGCAGCCTCCAGCATGAAAAGTTTAGGAAGTTTGCAGAGTTATAATCCATCTTCACTGCAGCAAAACACCTTTAGTACAAAAAAATAATGGGGTGGTGATGGGTAGGAGCCAGGGGCGGGAGCGGGGAGCAATGCTGGGTTTTGTAAAGGGCCCAGGCAGGACTCCTGAGGGAGTCAATGAGCCCAGAGTCCCCGCTTCCCCATACCCCTCTCCCAGGTATCCCTCATGCCCCCACCCCAACACAGACACCCCCACCTCATGCCTGAGGTGCCCTGCTTATCCAATGTCCTCTTCTGCCTCCTCGCACAGCCCCACAACCAGGGTTACACACCAAGAGCCTGATGGCCCAGCTGTGGTGGCCCTGCCCCTGCCCACAGCACACTGCCCTCTTGACTCACAGCCTGCACTGACTCTCTGGAGATCCCACTGCTGGCACCAACTCCTCTCCCTCAGCCAAAGCCCAAACCTCCAGCCACGCAGCACATCCAGAGGTGCCATGGACACCTCTGAAGGCATTTCCTTCAGCCGCAAGGTATTTTTTCACGGCTTTTCCTGCACCCTCTAATTTGTCAACATCATTCTTAGACCAAAGACAGGAAAATGAGAGGCCGGTGCAGTCTGAGTCTCACTCTTGCTGTGCTCAGGTCCTGGTGCAACACCCTGCAGACCTAGTAGTTCTCCTTGGCCTAGCCCTGTGCAGGGAGTTCACACTGACCTGCTTGTTCACGGCCCGCTCAGATCTGTCTTGGGGGGACCCTTGTCCTGGGCAAGTGTCTGTTCCTGCGTGTCCCACTTTGCATTTGGCTGCCTCAAAACACACATCCTTTCCAGGGCAGCCAGGGCTGCAGGTCTCTGCATGACTGCCCTGGCCTCAGCTCTGCCAGCCCCTGCTTCCACCACATGAACCAGCAGTGGTTTTATGCTTGCTTTCAGAGCACTGGTGAAAACCTTGACAGGCCTGGTACGGCCCCCTGCGCATCATGTTTAGATACACTCCACTTGGAAAGGATTCCCCGGGGACCACTACTTTTTGAGCCTGGCTGGTTAGACAGCTTGTGACCCATTTCACCTGCGCTTTATAGACTCTGGTTATGCGGGATGCCATTCAGATCTTGCACACACCAGATAATGTCTGTAACAAAGGGACTGCTTCAAATTAAACGAGCCTGATTACTATTGCAGCCAGGAATACTGTGCAACTCAGAGGCACCTCCGTGTTAGCACCCGATTAAGACCAGTTACCTTGTCATTTGGAGTCCCAACAGGGGCAGTTAGCACACTGTTCCCTGTGGCAGCAGCACCACAGCCTGTTGGCCAATTTTTCCTGATTGCTAAATAAACCCATCATAAGCATCTTAGCAGATACATTACATCTACAGTTACCATTCCCCAGCCCAAATTGAGGTGGAATCTCCTCAAAGAATGAAACCAGCTCGTTTTGACAGAACTTGAGCTTTTGCTTGAAGTTGGCTACATAGAAAGAGCAAAACATCGACTGCAAGTCTGTTATTTACAGGGAGGGTCATAACTAAAACCTGATTAATTGTTGTGCATAGACACAGAGACGTAGCAAATACAAATGCTCAGGAGTTGGTTACAGGTTCTTCCTACGAGGTGCTTAAGATGACCTCATTTAACTCCATAATGATGACAAGACCTCATTTCCTATCTCTAATAAGGATAAAATAAATAAGATGAGCAGGAGAACAGCAACACAAACAAGGTGATCAGGAGAACAGCTGTCACACTGATGCTACTGATGCTGCTTTATGGTCATGACAAATTTAACATATTAACATTTAAGTTATTTTCAATGTCTACATATTAAACCCCTTAACCACAAATTGGTACCAAGTATTTTCAACTATTGCAGAGAACTCCCTTACTTGCTGCACTGATCCCTGCAATGCAACATGAACATAGAAACCCTTTCATCTCTTTTTAACAAACTGAATTTTCTCTGCTTTTCTGTCATCACAGATAAGCGATTTCTGCTCAGTGCAACTGGGAGCTTGTTGCAAGCCATCCTCACCCTCATGCAACGTACGCCAAGAAAGGACAGCATGTTCTCAGTCCCCATAAAGGCTGGAAGATTTTGGGGTATGCATAGGAGGATAGTCTTTGGTTTCTGCTGGCACACAAGGCTGGCACTGAGGGCACCACCAGGTAAGTCTCTGAAGCCCACGTGTGGGACCAAGAGTTCCCTTCATCACCATGTGCCCAAGAGGACATTTCTCCTTCTGGTAGATCTGAGGGTGTAATCGTTCCCCGTGCAGTTTCTGATGCAGCCAGTGGGTGCTGAACTGAACGGCATGATCAAGCAAGGCGTCGAGATTGGACGGAGCCAGGAGGGACCCTTGTGATAATGGGTGGATCTTCGCCAAATACAAGATCTCATTTTTAATGATGTTCCCTGAAGCAGAGGGGAAAGCAGAAGTTCAGAAATGGAGGTACAACAGCAAGAACCGATCACATCAGTGAGTCACAGGCCGGCAAACTAAGCCAGGGGTGCACAAGAAGTGATAGCCCCTTCTCCCCGCGGTAATGCAGGGGGCAATCACGCAGCACTCCTAATCTGGCTCCACACACACGTGGACATGGGAGCTGTTATAGCACCAATAGCACTGACCCCTGTAAGTCATAGGGGCAGACCAGTTGGACCACATGCGACCAGTGGTTGTGGGGCTCTGGGAGGAAGCCAAGAGGAGAGAGGACTGTGGCAGACAGGGAGGGGCTATGGCCGCAGGCCAGACAGACTCTTCTGCTCCTCTGATTTTGAGGGGACAGCCTGTGATCCTGATATGTTTGGGAGGATGTTACAGAAGCATAATGTTTTCTACTAATGATGGCCCACCACTGCAAAATGTACCTGGCAGGTGTGCCACAGTAGTTTCATCTAAACACATTAAGGGATTGCTGATGTCAAACACGGCTTTGACACCAAGTCCCACAGTGGCCATTGGTTAGGGAGACCATCCATCCAGTGGGAAATACAAAACATCCAGGACACCCCCTTTCCTCTTCCCTCCCTCACTCCCAGGTCAGCAGCGCTTCGCAGGGAGAGGTGGAGGCAGACTGGCATCTGCAACAGGCAGGCAGAGCAGCTGCAATTCTTCCCCAGTCACTTTGCTGGGGGCACCACACCGCTTCCCATCCCTGCCAGATTGCACCCCGCACCTGGGATGCTCATTTTAACCTGGCTGAAACCAGTGCCCAAAATCTGGGAGTGTCCCAGGGAAAACAGGATGGACGGTCACCCTGCTATTAGTGAACTCATGTAACCTCACCATGCCCCAGTTGCTCTCTCTGCACAAGGATGACTATACCCATATATATCCCACCAGGATAGAAAGCTTCCCCGCCCAGTTTTCAGAGCACCGGAGCATTTGTAGCACCTGCTCAAGTGAGCATGTTTGACACCAGGCCCCGTTTCATTCCCGTTTGTACAACATGGGCCCATCCATGCACGGAAGGTGCTGTAGGAACAAGCAAGACAACGACAAGCTTCACGTCTCAGAGGGGATATCTAACACACGGGGTCGGCCCCTAATGATAAATCTGAGATCCAGGCCAGATTGAGCCCCGATATCTCCCTCTTCAGGGGCTGTTCCCCCTCCCTGATGAAACATACCCAGACCCGAGAAATATCTCTGGTCCAGAAGGGTGTAGCAGACGGGCATTGGCCGGCGAAGGGCTTCCAAAGCCTGTCCCCGATGGAAGTCAGCAGACAAGATGTCAATGGTGGGTTTGGCCGTCGGAGAGGAGCTCCAGTGTATTCGGCAGTTGTAGAAGACGAGGAAGCCCCCGTTCGCAAAGTGCAGGATCAGCCTTAAAGGGAACAGAATGGAAATTAGAGGGAGAATACCCTGAACGTGTCTATTTGGGCAAAACGTGGCACAGGAGCCATCGCATCCCACTGTGGCTTGACTGAGCAAGCAGAGAGGAGGAAGGGAGGGGAGTCGGAAAAGCCGTGGCCTAGAAACAAGGGGCAATAGAGTAAGGCACAGGAAACAAAACAAAATCAGATCCCTTGGGTACAGGACTAGCTATGGCAAAACTTCATGGCATCCAAGGGCCCCCCATGATCTGACAGGTTGGGGTTTCCCAGCCCCCTCCTCCCCCCAGAATCACACATCTCTGCCAGCCATGCAACCTATCTGGCTGGGGTATTATGATCCCAGCACTCGTTCCTGCCCAGGGCAGGGGGGCAGACTTGATCTGTTCAAGGTCCCTTCCGACCCTAGAAACTATGAAACTATTTGGCCTGCTAGGGAAGATGTGGACTCGTCTCCATCACTGGCGGCGTGCAAGAAGAGATCCCACAAGCACTGGTGAGGGACGATCAATGATCAATGCCTACGATTCCAGGCATTGCTGATTGCTGCATGGAGCCAGGAGGGAACTTTTTCTCCCCCCCTGCTACATGTGCCAGGATTTTTTTAAACTTCCCCTGCTTTACCTGTGCCAGGTTAGGTGTTATGTCTCGTGACTGTGTCGGGGTGACAGTGTAGTCTCAGTAATACGTTACACAATGGATTTGTATAGGTCGTTTTGGAAAGCAGTGATTCCGTCTCTGACAGGGCATTGGACTAGATGACCTTTGAAGTTTCCTTCCAGCCCTGCTTTTCTATGATTTACGAAATTACCCCGCTGTGCCACTCCAGAAGAGGGTCGGATGTACTTGTTCCCCAGAGCTGCTCCAGGCCACCTTTCTTTCCTGAGCTGCCTGTTAGTAACTTGCCCATCATGCCTTGAGTGGCTAAATTGACATAAGCTCCACTTTTTAGGGCTCCCAGGTTGTTGAGCACCGGGTCTGTGTATGGTCGGGGTCACCTACACCCCACCCAAGTTTGGTCTAGCTGCACCAGTTCACCTGGAGCCCCGTGTTCAGGACCACAATCTGCCTTCACGGCCAGATGTGCTCGCAAAGCAGAATTGGTGACCTGGAGTCAGGTCATTCTCTTTACACCTCCACTGGCCCTTCTGGGTCTGGCTCGCTGTCAGTCTCCCATCACCCTCACTCCCGTTGGACAAGGCTGGTTTCTCATCCGCTGCACTGGGCGTAAACCTCCATCTCTATGTACTGCTCCTTGCAAGTGCTAGGGTTTTGGGGTGCTGCCCTTGCCCCCCCTTTTCATGGCCTCCTCCACCCCTTCAGCCATGTCCCGGTCTACAAAGTTGAGGACCCCCACATCGAGCTGGGCAACCCAACTCCTAACACAAACTCTCCCTACCATGGGTCGGCCTTGTCCATGGACCATTCTTACTGAAGTCCAAACGTACATCCCAAAAAGCAAGTGAGGCGTGAAATGTATCTGTCTCGCCGCAGCATTGCTGTCAGTCTTCCTCGTCCAGCCTGCCAGCGGCGATCCTGCCCCTGTTCCTTTCCCTCTGTCTTGCTTTAGTCTAGTCTAAAGGGCTACTGCAAACATCCGCACCTTCTCGTTATGGGGGAGAGGCCCCATTACACACACCCAGCTGGGAATGGTCCACTGACTGCCTGATTCTTATAAAAGAGCTCAATGCAATTAAAAGAAGTAGGGTATCCCTGGGGGCAGGAGGAAGACCATCAGGCAGTGAGGTGGCAAGAGCAGAGCAGCTCTGGCAAGGAAGCCAGAGCGGGGAAAGTAGCTATCAGACTTGGGCTGAATTGCCACTGATCAATGTGATGCTGCGTCCAGTAAAGCGACCAAAATGCTGGCTTGCATCCATAGATGCTTCTCAAGCAAATCCCAGGACGTCATTCTCCCCTTGTACTCGGCCTTGGTGAGGCCGCAGCTGGAGTACTGCATCCAGTTTTGGGCTCCACAATTCAAAAAGGATGTGGAGAAGCTTGAGAGA